GGCATAGCAGAGAGTCAAGGGTTATTAAGGTTTTGGTACATCATATGGTTTGGTTTTGGGTGAAGATCGCAATCGGGATGTTTTGAAGATCAGTTCTGCATGTTTTTGTTAGTGTCTTCAGCCAGGGACTCGGGGCAGATTCATAATTGGATGCTCATCAGTTGTAGGGAAGGGTCCTCGAGAAGAATATGAGTGGCCATTATCAAGTGGGTTTTTGGTGAAAAGCGTTGGGAATCGCGAGTGTAACCGTGCAAGTCTGTGCTCGGAAAAATATGGACCAAGAAACTTGTATGTCAAGACCTCGGCCGGAGGGTTGTCGGAAGCAACAGTTGGTCTGTGATTATGTTTTCTAGTAGGAGTCGCAGGTGAGCAGGAGTCGAGTAGATAGTTCGAGGGATAGGTATTATGGTTTTGACATTGTTCCAGTATGGGCGGTCTGTCAGGGAGTCAGGCCAGTTCGAGACTTAAATATACAGGCAAAGTAGTTTGGGTTTCTGCATGGGATTGTGGATTCGCCTTCTTTGAGTGAGAAATTCTACTGTGTTCAGTTTCCTTGGGAAGGCAATTCATTGTTCAAGGTTGTTGTTGTGTCCCTCAGGCTGTTGGGCACATATGAATGATAAGGAATGATTTCGAGGACGAAATCGAATTTAAGTGGGAGAGATTTGTAACACTCGGTTTCGAATCGCCTCAATATTCGGGGTTGCGGACCTATCATCAATTATCATAAGGCTTGGGATCTTGGGAAAGAAAGGTTTTGGCCATTTTGGATGAGGATGTTAAAGGCTAAATGATCTGAGTGTTCGATGGTGTTTCGGAGCCTAAGGACATAATCATAATTGGTTATCTTGGTCCTTTGTGAGTTTTGGGTTTGGTTCGGGGAACTTCAAGGTTATGATGGGTTGCTAGAAGTGTAGGGCTTCTCGCCACCTTTCCTTGGATATAAAGTTCATCGGAAACGGACTTAGATCGAAGAAGTTATGGTCTTTGGAATATTTAGGGTTTTACGAAGAACCTTAGTATGCAGGGCGTACCAAGGGAGTACGCACGGCGTACAACTGCGAAGATCAGTACGCATGGCGTAGTGAGGCATACGCTGGGCGTAATGCGAAGGTTGGTGCGGGGGTGCGAAGCCTCGTACGCTGGGCGTACGAGGAGTACGCTGGGTGTACGAGGGTAGATTGGAAAACCCTAATTTTTGTGTTGTGCCATATATAAGCTTAATGATAGTCCATTTTGTTCATTTCTAAGACAGCCTCCATGCTCTAAAACCCTAATTCGACCCCCTAGCCCATGTTTGGTGATTTGGAAGCTCTTGTGAGATTTATGGAAAGTTTTGTGGATCTAGAAGAAGAATGGAAAAAATTGAAGACTTGTTGTTTGAAGGAAAGCTTTAAGATCCAGAATTTGCACCTCCTTTTGGTAGCTTGGGAGGTATAAAGTCTCAACCTTGCCTTTTCATTTCATAGATCTTCTTCTTGGCTTATTTTTGGTCATTTTGACCTTTTTGGTGGATGATTGGGAGTCTAAGTCGTTTGTGAAGCTTGAAATTGTAGATCTAGTTATATCATGGGTTCCTTAGGCATAAAGGTGCAAACTTTATGGTGGTTTTCGTTCCATGCATGTATTAAGTCAAGTATTAAGCTCTTTTGAGCTCTAGAGTCCCATTTAGCCATGCATGCACATAAAGTTGGCAACTTTATGTGATTAACCACCTTGGGGAAGTCAGATCTGAGTTTGGATCCAAGTCTTAATGGATTAAGTGCTTAATTGGAAAGTTGGCTTTGGGCTAGTGAGTACGCTGGGCATACAAGTCTATACACTGATCGTACAAGCCTCTCAAGTAGTACGCTAAGCGTATAGGCTGAGTATGCCCCACATACTCAGCATACTTGGGCCTTTTTGCGTTTTGGGCTTCGGTTTGAGTTGGGATGTGTTCGGCCATGTTGGTCCATCTGGATCTTATTGTTGGGCTGTTATATTGTGTTGGTCCTTCTCGGGCAAAGGCCCATGAAAGGAAATAGGCTTAATTTGGAAAGTTGGACCATATTTGGACCTTAGATATTATTCTTGGATTTTGGGCTTTTGGTCATCTAGTTAGGCCTTGGCTTTGGGCCAAGCTTGAGGAACGGTAAAAAGATCTTTTACCCTAATTAAGACTCATAGTGTGCGTCAGTGGCTAGATGTTGATGGGATGTCATTTTGGTATTTGATAGCGCGTGGATTATAGCGGATCTGCAGTCAGAGATTATTCGTGGAATCAGCTGTGATAGGGTTTTGTCTTGTTACTTTTGGTTCGGGGATCTATCAGCCAGCAGCCAGGGATCGTATGTATGATTCGACAGTGCGAGGTGATTCTTCCTCACTGTGCTTACATGTCGAAGGCACCACGGCACATTGGATTGTTATCCTGGTTTATCGCATGGTGGTATGTTGTAGGGATCTAATAGATCTATATCCTAGTATATAGGATGATGCTATGCTTAATGATCTGTAAGATCTGCCTGATTGTCTGTTGACTAGTTATATGTTTAGCTATGTATATGTCGTCGTGGTGTGGGTGGGTTGAGACTGTACTGCTTTGTGTTGTCAGTCAACAAACCCGGTAATGTTTATATCGATATGTTGTTATGGTTTACTGGGATTATATGTGTTTTGGATATGTATATGTTGACATGTTGTGTGTGGTTGGGTTGAGGCAGTCCTGTTATGTGCTGAAGACCAACATACCCAGGGCATCTCGGATGGACTGAAGGCCAGTGGGGCGTACCAGTCAGGCCGAAGGCCCAGAGAAGGTTCCAGATAGGCTGAAGGCCCGGTGAGGCGTACCAGTCATGCTGAAGGTTCTGTGAGCGTACCAGATTGACTGTTGGCCGGTGGGGCGTTCCAGTCACACTGAAGGCTCTGTGGGCGTTCCAGATGGACTGCAGGCTGGTGGGGCGTTCCAGTCATGCTGAAGGCCCTATATGCATGCTGTTTGTTGGTATATGTTATATGTTTGTGTGGTGGTACTTTGGAGGAAACTCACTAAGCTTTGTGTTTATAGTTTTTGGTTTATGGTTTCAGGTGTTTCAGAGGTTCGTGGCAAGACGAAGGCGTGACCGTACACATCCTGATTTTATGTCGTTGATCTTGGGAGGCACTGATTTTCAAATACTGTTTTGAGAACACTATTTTTGTAAACATTTTATTAGTAAAATGATCGTTTTGAAAAGTTTAAAATTGTTGAAATTTTTGGGATGTTACAGTATTGATTATGACATCCTTAGGGTTTTGTGTTTTGAAACAACATCTTTTACTCAAGATATTTTAATAAAACGAGACAGTTTCTGCAAAATGTTTTTTTATACCGGGATTTTATGCAAACAAAGATATTATGATTTTTAAAGCGTAAAGAATTTTTCTTATTTTTATTTTTATTTTTTGGTTTTGGAAAATAGGGATGTAATAAGTTTGCTCCTATATACTTACATATATTCCTTCATCATTCATCTCACCATTAGATTTGCGCTAAAGATAATTTGTTTACCAATTTTGATCTGTAACCCTTTGTATTCGAGTATTGATTTGAAGGTGTCTAACCATACATTCAACTTCATCCTAGACTCGGTCACCAAGACAATGTTATTGGCAAAAAAACATACGTGAAGGCACTTCCTTTGGTTTTGGTGAGACATCTTGCCCAAGACCAAGGCAAAGATATATTGGGTGAGAGCTGATCAAGCCTAATATATAACGGAACAACTCAATGTCTCCAATTGGGGTCTAAACACAAGTCATAGATCGACAATATAAATCACGTATAACCATGACATATCATATTTCATGGTACTCTATCATATGTCTTCTTTATGTCGATGAACATTATATGTAGAACCATATTTATTTTTTAAAATTGTCTATAAGACTTCTAAAGAGGTAGATCGTCTCAGTAATCAACCTTCCAGTAATGAAACCAAATAGGCTTTTTAAAACACTCAGTAATCAACCTTCCAGTAATGAAACCAAATAGGCTTTTTAAAACACTCGTAACACTATACATCCTAGCCTCTAAAGTTTTCTACTATAATTTGATGGTATGACAAGTAGCTTAATATCTCTCTAATTCCTATAACTTTAAGAATCATATTTGTTGTTATAAATTGGTGAACAAAAATAACCCCAAAAGAATATAACATAAATTGAACCCTTCTAAATCTACGTCTCAAATCTTACTAACCATATTAACTATAAAAAGTTTGTGACAAATTCCAATTTTCAATAGTTTGATCAACTTTCGAATAATACTTGATTTATTAATAATTTTCAAACAATGTCATGAAAAAACCTTGCATTCGATTTTATATAATATTTATTTGTATAAAGACGATGGTCGTTTAGGCAACCTAATGCGAAATGGGTCCATGTCACCACTACCAAAATATAAAAAAACAAAAATGGGGGCCCCAAAACGTAGAGCAACGAACGTGGGAGGGGTGGAACTGAAAGTTTACATATGGGATTTTAAAGAACTGGCCAAGGCGTGCTTCCATGTGATTCCTACTCCCCTTCTTCTTCCTTTAAATCCCACCACCCCCTCCCCTCTCTGTATCTTTCTTCCAATTATACGTCTGTAAATTCATAATCCATTCATTTCAATACTCCAATTGCTCTCAGACAACTTCCTAAAGGTAATAATTCTTGATAACTCGATTTTAATCATTGACTGGTGATTGTGTTTATCAGTTTAATCGTAGTTTATGTTTGATTTTTTGATTATGAACTTTGAAGGATCTAGATTGATCTTAAAAAAAAAAAAAAAATATCTGATGGAATCTGTTTATTTATTTCCGGTGCGAATCTGTATGTTCTTTGTTGATTCGAATGGCTTATTCTTGTTTTCTGACATGATTTAGTTTGAATCTAATCTACAGGAAGTGATTGTGGTCAGCGGAGGTTAAATTCTGTTTGTGCCATAATTGATCCAGATTAAGATCAATTGAAAAACGGTTTATCTGTTTATGGCGTCGTCAACGTTGATTCCGAATCCGGTAACGAACAACACAGACAGAGCACGTGATTCATCGAAAAGGAGAAAGAGAAAGAAAATCCAAAGGCAATCTAGTGTTAATCAGATCAGTCAGAACTTGAATTCCTGTAACAATCATATTACGCCATGGAAATCGGAAGTTCAACAGCAAGTTTACAGCTCGAAACTCCTTCAAGCTCTCCGTCAAGTCCGACAGACCTCCGGTATCGGTACCGGCACTTCTCCTACTAAATCTCCCGGCCGCGGACGCGCCGTCCGTGAGGCCGCTGACCGAGTCCTTGCCGTCACGGCGAAAGGCCGTACACGATGGAGCCGTGCGATCCTCACAAATAAACTCAAACTTAAATTCATGAAGAGTAACAGAAGACAGAGAGGAATGGTTGCGACGGCGACCGGCAATAGCCGGGTAAAGAAACCGAGAGTGAGTATATTGAGGTTGAAAACAAGGAACTTGCCGGCCGTTCAACGGAAAACGCGTGTGCTCGGAGGCTTAGTTCCCGGTTGCCGGAAACAATCGTTGCCGGTTGTATTAGAAGAAGCGACTGATTATATCCCAGCTCTTGAGATGCAGGTTAGAGCCATGGCTGCTCTCGTTAACCTTCTCTCCGGTGGATCCAGTTCTACACCCGTCTCCGGCGCCGATAGTTTTAGCCGGCCACCACCCAACTTGTGATAGCGATACCCTCTCAGTCTTTCTATTTTCCTATTTTGTTTTTTTTTTTTTTTCCTTTCTCTTTTTTTACTGTCACTGTTAAAATACATTCTCTTCTTTTATTTGTTATTTTCTTGTTACCCTTTTTACTTTTTTTTATCAGTATATACGATATTCATCATACTCATTTACACCAGTCAAAACATTTGATAAAAAAATAATAATTTCAAGATATTCCAATCAATTTTTTTTGTTTCGTAAAATTTGATATTTAAGTTTTGTTTGAATGAGTAACTGAAACATTAATTTTAAACTTATAAATTAACAGATAAAAAATAACGTTTAATTAAAATTAGTTGATAAACTAGTTATAACTTGTCAAATACAGCTTTAACCTAATAATTTAAGTATCAACAATGACTTAATAAAAAGATTTTAGTGGTCATTAAGATATATAATAAAAGGTCAAAATTCATTTTCATAGTTGATACAAAAAGAATTATCATTTATTTTTTGTATAATTCTTTACGGTTAAAGAGGAAATAAATCATAAATTCCAAACATGTATTAATTGATGTTAATTATTAGAGAATGTATTAACTGATGTTAATTATAATTGAATTGTTAGTGAGATTGTTTTGTTTTGTTCATTGGAAGGTAGTTGGGGTTCTTTTAGTAAAAAAAAAAAAAAAAGAGATGGTGCAAGCATTTATTTATCTTCTGTGAATCCAAGTTCCTATAGTCAGAGATATGGGTAGTGGTATTCATGGTGCCATGTGCATCTTTTCTTTCTTTCTTTCTTCTTTTCATCTTTTCATTGTATATTAGGATACTCATATTTTCAACTTTTCATAGCTAATATTATCGTTTTTCTTTTTTTCAAATACAATATGGTTACATGACAAATAATAAGCCATTCTACCGCATCACATAATTTGTCACATATATGAGTCGTTAGATGTGTTTTTATATTTATGATAACATTAAATTACTCGTATCGTTAAATAGAATTGTAATTAAATCTTAATTATTATTTTTTTTTTAACGTAAGACTGTGTCTGTGATGTTAGCTGAAAAACTAATTTTTAGTTATAAATTAATTTATCAATGAATTATCTCAACTAATTTATTGAAAAATGAGCTTATACACTAGTTGATAAGCAACTTTTAATGATCTTAGTACATTTTAAATTGCAATAATCACAAAAAATAAGCTAAATTATGGAACATAATGTAAATGTAAAACAAAAGAGGGAGTTTGAGAGGGCTGGAGTGAACATGTAATCATTGTTTGTACTTTGTATTTTCCTTACCACCTCGTTAGCTTCTATTTTATATATTTCTTTACTGTTCAAAAAGAAGGATCGCCAATAATATATAAATATTTGAACAAAGAGTAAATTAGTATTTTTGTGTTGTATTTAAAACTTCATATACGAACAATTATCATAATTATTGAAAGATAAAAATGTAAAATTCTATTTATGAACAATTATCATACTTATTAAAGATACTTAGGAGTACATGAGTAAGTAGAAGCAATCTAAAAGCATCTGCGATAAGAGTTTTTTTAAAGCTTATTACTATTAGTTTATTATTATTATTATTAATTTGAACACTTATTAGTTATTATTATTAGTTATTACCATTAGAACAAATAGTTTTTTTGTTCTTTTTTTTATTGAACATTCAATATATCAATATATATTGAGTGATAATAATTCAATATAGTTTAAAGTTTTATACATCTAAGCTCTTCTTCTTTAGTTATATATCATTTCATCCCCATAACCATATTTTAGTTTTAATTTATTGTTATTTCTTTACTAATTAATTATTTTTATCAAATATTTAATGATATTTTATTTATAAAATATGAATTTCATAAAGATTATATAAATATTTTCATTTGTAGTGACATTATAGGTATGATGTATGTTTAAAAATGATTAATTAAATGAGAGGGTTCTTTATAGAATACTTTAGACAAATGAGGGTAATTTAGTTAAATTTAAGAAAAAAAAACTATTGAAAGAGTTTACCATTGGAGAGATCATTTTATTAGTACTTAATTTTTATAGAATGACGAGTTGTCAGTTATTTTAAGTCATGATATAGGTTAACCATTGGAGATGCCTTAAATGTGTGTTATATTTGGGTAAATTATTGTCAAAACATTTTGAATCATTGTTGATAAAATTTGTGTTATATTTGGGTAAATTATTGTCAAAACATTTTGAATCATTGTTGATAAAATCTGAACTTTAAACAAAGCTTTGTCCCATTTTTTGTTAGAAGTGTTCGAATTTCTTTTAGAACTTTAAAGCTACTCAACTCCAATCTTTCTCGTTTGTAACTAAAAATGTTCAAATACACAAACAAAGGGAAAATGACTTGTCAAAGTAATTATTTTTTCGTTTTGTTCACGTTTAGACAATTTTTTTTTAGTTGGTGAAAATGGTAATATGTGAACACATTTAAAAAGTTCAATGGTCAGATGTGTACAAAAAAAGAAAGTTGTCTAAATATGAGCAATTTTTTTTTTACAAATTTCTTAAAACTTTTTATAATTTCTCACAACATTTTTATGATATTTTTTCCTATAGGTTTTTCTAATACAATGTTTTAAACTTTGCTTATAAGTTTTTTTAAACATTTTTTATACTTTCATATAATTTTAATACAAATGATTTTAAACCAAATATTTTATAAATGTTTTAAATTTCTCTTACAAGTTTTTAACTTTTTTTTATATTTTCATACAACTGTTTTTATAACTTTCATACAATTATTTGTAAACTTTCTTTTACAACATTTTTAAAGTGTTTCACATATTTTGTATGACAATTTAATAGTTTCTTTTACAACATGTTTAAAACGTTATATTAAAAAATTAAAAGTTTATAAACTTCTAATTAAGAAGTACATTAGAAAGTTGTAATAATTTTAAAACATTTACATTATATAGAATTTTCTTCTGTCTTTTATTTGTTACGTAATATTTTTTTAAAAAGAACATTCATACTGATTGTTACATATTTAATTTATTTAATTTTATTGTTAGATACTATTACTTTAAAAATATTGTATATGCTTAAAAACAAAAGAAAAAAAATATAAGAGGCTATATAAAATATTTCACAAAACAAAAACATATTTATTAATTAAAAAGTAAAGTTTAGAATTAATCAATATTTAATTAATATTTAGGGCATTATGGATACTTTAAAAGTAACGTTTAAAAAAAATAATACAAAAAAATATGAAAAATAAAATCGCAATTGAAAGTGAGGAAAATGACTTATCACGGTAATGAACTTTTTGCTTTGTTCACATTTAGACAATTTTCTTTTCTTGTATACATTTGATCATTTAACTTGTTAAATATGTTTACATATTACTACTGCCACCTGCTATAGCTGGTGACAATGGTAATATGTGAACAAATATAACAAGTTCAATGGTCAAATGTGTATAAAAAAGGAAGTTGTCTAAATGTGAACAAAGAGACAAAGATAATTATCCTGGTAAGTCATTTTCCCCACAAACAAATATCTTTCTTGTTTTGATGATGACAAACAAATTACGATAACTGAAAGGACATTCAACGAATAATATATAACACTAAAATTGCCATAAAACGCATAACCAAATAAATACATAAGTAGGGTTATTGCTTCTTCCCTTTTTCAAAGAGTAAAAAATGTGAAAGTTTTGATGATTTAATCAGAAAAACTTTTTATTCAGCAGCTCAATCGTTTATATACAAGAAGAGACCTTGATCAACAAGAAAATTAAAAGAGTCATGATATATTAAAGAAACCAGAACTGACTTAGGCTAATTAAATAAGGAATGTTATATTTCCTTTACTCCCCCCCTCAAGTTGGAGCGTGCAGATTTCGAATGCCCAACTTGTTCAGTAGAACCTAAAGCCATTGAGTTCCTAAAGCTTTGGTAAAAAGGTCAGCAATCTGATCGGTGGTGTTGACACTAATGGTTTTGATTTCTTTAGATTCTATTTGTTCGCGCACAAAATAACAATCCATTTCTACGTGCTTAGTTCTCGCGTGGAAGACTGGATTATTAGTGATATCTCTGGCAGCCTGATTGTCACAATGTAAAAGCGTGGGTCCAGCAGGATAGACATCCAGATCCTTCAATAACCATCATAGCCAGATGATTTCACTAACTGTAGTAGCCATTTCCATATACTCTGCTTCAGCTGAAGAACGGGAAACTACAAAATGCTTCTTTGTCTTCCAAAAGATAGGTGCTCCTCCTATAAGAACAAGGTACCCAGTCCGTGACCGTCATGTGTATGCACATCCTAACCAATTTGCATCACAATAAGAGACAAATTTTAAACCCCCAGTTTTTTGAAAGAAAACATCTTGTCCTGGTGTTACCTTTAAGTAGTGCTAACCTTATGAGCCGAATCCAAGTGTTTATGTCTAGGATCTGAGATAAATTGGCTTAAGATATTCACTGCATAGGCTACATCAGGTCTTGTGACTTGGAGATAAAGTAATCTCCCTATGAGTCTTCTATACTGGCTTGCGTCAATACGTGGGTTGTCTTCATATTTGTCTAACTTTAGAATCTGCTCCATGGAAAAGGTGCTTGGTCGACAACCTTCCAATCTGCTAACTTTAAGGATGTCTAAAACATATTTTTGTTGACTTAGAACCAATGCCATCACCATTCCTTGCCACCTCTATTCCTAAGAAGTACTTCAATGGTCCAAGATCTTTGATGCTAAACATCTTGTTGAGATGGTCTTTTATCTCTTGTATTTTTATCAGGTCATTCTCGACTATTATCAAATCATCTACGTAGATAAGCGCAACAAAAAATTTCCTTTTGCTTACAAATAAATAGGGAATGATCGACACGAGATTGCTTAAAATTTAAAGTTAATAAAGCTTGTGTAAACTTTTGATACCAGTTGCGGGAGGCTTGCTTAAATCCATATAAGGACTTTTGTAATCTGCATACCCTTGTATCTCCTTTCTTTGTGAAG